TTTTTTTTTTTTTTTTTAGTAGTGACCAATTCAAGCCACAAGGTTTCAGTAGCAATCTGCATCAGTTTGGGAGCACCTGGGTCTGCAGTGGTACTGAAGCATGTCTGCTGTTCATCCCTATCCTAGAACCACAACGTGTTTCATCCCAAAGCGCTTCACAACCACTAATGCATTGATCCCCATTTTCCTCCCCCTGCCCTGTGCTATAATCATCCTTCCCATTTTACAAACTGAGGTACTGTGGGGGAAGCAATTTGGTCAAAGTCACACTGGGTGTGTCTACATGAGACATTTACTGAGGAGCTGACTGATTACTTCCACAGCAAATGTCTCAGCATCTACACATGCACTCCTATTAGGGTGAAGGAAATTAATAAACTCCACATCAGGTCATACTTGTGAATACAAGTCCTACTCAGTTGCAGAGTTTTTTCATGCGCAGCATAGTTTTCTATGAAACTATGAAATGTGTAGACGCTGACCCAGCTGGCTAGGGCATGAGAGTTATTCAGCAGCTCACCCCATGCTGAAGCACCCTCATGCCCCAGCCCACCCCTCTACAGCACATTGAGCCCAGTCTACCCATAGGGCTGGTAGACTGACCCCCTGGGTCCTCTGCCAGTGAAGACTGCTCTGACCCAGTTCAGTGTGCCGTGGTCCAGGGGCACATGTAAACAGCGCATTCAGGAGCTTCCTGGGAGCAGTGAACTCCAAAGCAATAAGCTCCAGAGTTTATTGCTGCACATTAATGGCACATGTAAATGTGCCCACAGGGAATCAGTGACAGAGCTTGGAGGAGTATCCAGGGGCTTCTATAGACATGCAGCAAGGCTGCTCCGACGTGCTGTAAATCCAGCGCATTGGAGCAGACTTGATTAGTTGAGTCTGCTGGAGCATGGAAATTAACGTGCTCCAGCAGCCTCCAGCATGACTTCTTTGATGAGCTTTACTTCAAAGCACCCCACCACCACTTTTCAGTGTGGGGACGCTGATACACGTGATGCTCGGTAGCTTTTAATTAGCACCCCCCCCCCTTTCAGAGCACATCTATAAATGCCCCAGGAGTCCTAGTCTGCTCTGAATATTAAGCATCCTTGATTAAATGCCATTAAATCCATAGAAACATAATTAGGTCAATCAAAACACAGAGAATAACTGAAACTAGAGTTTGGCCCTCTGCCTCAAATGTAAAGAGAGCTGGATCCTCCACTTGTTTAAATCAATCCACCTCCACCAGGATCAGTAGAGATGTGCTGATTAACACCAGCTCTGGTTCTGGCCCAGAAACTTTTGAACTCAGACAGCAGGACGGTTGGGTCCATCTGTGTTTAGCAGCATCAGAAGTCACATATTCCAGCACAGGCAGCAACTGGAGACTTGCTGATATTGCAGGGCACAGACATTTTGGTGTCTGTTTTCTAATCCCATGGTGCCGTGCTGCCCTATTGCAAGCCCTGCACTTTTGTGCTGAGGTGATGCTCCATTATGTCACACCCTCCTGTTATGCATGGACATAGCATCACGTGGGGACAGAGTCCATCAGAACCGAGGGACGCTGCTCTGGAAAAGTGGCAGAGTAGCCATTCCACCAGAAAACAGTGAGGGCAACCACTTCCCTAGCTGTGCCTGCCTCCTTCCAGAACCTAAGTGCAACAAGAGCAGTGGCTTTGGCACTCTCATCATCAGACTGGTCCTTGCACAGTAACCCAGGTGATCTCAGTGCTTGGGTAAAGCTGTTTGGTTCTCTGAGGATTTACAATTCGGAAGGCTATAGCAGAACGTGGAGGGCTTCACTTCCCCCTATCTTGCTGTGGAACTCTTACGTGGATGGAAGCTCAGCCAGAGGAGCTCAGAGGAGGCTCCAGATACACTTAGGTGGCCCTTCAGGGTGAAACATTTTCCTCCCTGAAACCTAACTGAAGAGGTGGCTACAATATTAGAGTGGAGTTCACATGAAGCTGTTACAGGACTCAGGGGCTGTTTCAAAAGAGAGTGCCTTCAGACAGGTCATTGGGAGGTGGAATAGACCCAGGAGGAGTAAACACAGCATAGACTAACTATATGTGACTGGATGGATTTTACTTCATGACTGATCCTGCTCCTATCAATGTGTCCACTGTTCTCCAAAGAAGAAAGACTGGGCCCTTCAGGCCTAATGCCAGAGAACATAGTTTCATAGTTTCATAGATTTAGGGTCGGAAGGGACCTAGTAGATCTTCTAGCCCGACCCCCCGCCAGGGCGGGAGAACAACAAAACCCCAAAACAAGAAACGGGACTCAAATGAGTCCAGCCAGGTAGGCATCCAGCCTCTTCTTAAAGACCCCCAGGGTAGGGGCCAGCACCACTTCCCTTGGAAGTTGGTTCCAGCTCCTAGCCGCCCTAACTGTGAAGTAGTTCTTGTGGATGTCCAATCTATACCTCCTCTCCATCAACTTGTGCCCATTACTCCTTGTTATGCCAGCGGGCGCTAGGGGAAACAGCGTCTCCCCCAAACCCTTCTGGTCCCCCCTAGTGAGTTTATAGACGGTCACCAGGTCCCCCCTCAGCCTTCTCTTGTGGAGGCTGAATAGGTTCAGGTCCCGCAGTCTCTCACTGTAGGGTCTGCCCTGTTGTCCCCGGATCATGCGGGTGGCCCTCCTCTGGACCCTCTCCATGTTGTCCACATCCCTCTTGAAATGGGGCGCACAGAACTGGACACAATACTCCAGCTGTGGCCTGACCAGCGTCGCGTAGAGGGGGAGGATCACCTCCTTGGCTCTACTCGAGATGCACCTGTGGATGGACGACAAGGTCCGGTTAGCCCTGCCAACCATGACCTCGCATTGTCGGCCCATGTTCATCTTGGAGTCAAAACAAGCTGCCCCTCCATGATCATTTTGCCCCAAAGTCCCCCAAAAGTTGGATTTGTCTAGAACTAACCTGGAGAATCCTTGCCGTGTCATAATAAATGAGGTAAATGGTGCTGGTGACTTGGGTTGTCTCTGAAACAAGCAGCAGATATAGCAGCAGGTGAGATTCACCTCATGGGCCTTCTCCTAAAGTTCCTTGAAACCTGGTCCTCAATCTATGAACAGGAATTAAAAATGATAAAGCTACATGACTGAGAGGGTGTGGGAGCAAGGTTGGGGGCTGTGATGTCCTTGACTACAGCCCGGAAAGGGGGCAGGGGGTAGAGATGCCTTCCCCATACTGCTTAACTCTGCGCTAGACTTGCACGTTGCTCCTAACCCTGCACAACCCTTGTACTAATGCTCTTAAATATATTCCACTATGTGCGTGTGGCACCTTGAATACAGTCATTTTAATTCAAGATAAATCTCACAGAGCAAAGGGGTGGATCCAGCTGCCTCTGCTCCAACAGGAATAGGCTGCAGTTTTGCTCAGAGTCTATACTCTTCTTGCTCCTCCCTTTTCTGCTTGGAGGGAGAGGTGAATTCTAGTGCATCCTTGCCTGCCCCATGATGAAAGGACGAAAAGACAAAGTCATGAATGAGTTTAGAGTTTAATGGCTTAGTGCTACTTGTCACTTACTAGCCTGAGCAAGGAGTGTTCCTGGGATCAGCCCTCCATTCACCAGGACGGGGTGGGTTGCGTGGAGCTTGCAAACCAGGGAAGGGTGTGCCTGCATTCTGGTGTCACATGTATATGGATCTGGGTGATTTGCTGCCTACCCCCTGGGACCTGGGCAACATTAAACAATGTAACAATCAAAGACCAATCTGCCAGTTTCAAGGTCCTCCTGCACCATCCTCCTAATATTTGAGAAGTGCATTTTTAAAATAATTTATAATATACAAATTTAATTTATAAATATGTTAATTCAAAACTTTAGTCCAAATCATTGACATGCAACTGTTTCCCCAGTCTTCTCCACCTTTAAAGCCAACTCCATCTTGTTAAATCTTGATTGAAGCCCCACATAATGTCCTAGAAGGCAAAAGCACAGAGCTGAAGAACTAAGTTCAGAGGTGATGGTCTTCCACTGGGAAGGCTCTGTTTTAAGATATTTAAGCTCAACAGCCATCAGCCAAAGCACCCCTATTGCTAGGCTAAACTGAGATAAGGGAGGAGAAGTAAGGGTTGGTCTTTGACCTTACACCAGTGCCCAGAGGCTTTTTATGGTCAACACAGGTAATCACCATCCCAAGAGTTGAAAAAGAAGGTGCCCCATCTGGTCATCAACATCACTGTCAAAGCAGGAAGTTTGGGTATAAACATGCCATCCACTATAACCCCAAGTTCATTTTATATTGTTCTTTGCTTCTCTCCTGCCTTTCCAGTAGAAAGGAATATCTTGGTGGAGAAAAGAAGAGATGACAGAAGAGGAGGTAGAAAAAAAGGAGGCCAAAGGGCTGGAAGTCAGAGATGAGAGTGGGGAGGAAGAGAACACGATTTCTTCCTCTCCACTGTCACCTCACATGTCAAGCATGGAGCAGGTCCAAGAGCCAAACAAATCAGAGGAGAGCTCATTCTGGACTTGGCTGTCTCCTTTCAGCTTCCTCTCTGGACTAATCACCATAACAGACAGGTATAAGCATGAGGCAAGGGTTTTTATGGATGACATCTTTTATTGGACCAATTGCATGGTTTGGATAAAGTTAGACAAGCTTTCAAATGCACAGCAGTCTCCATCAGGTATAAGCATGAAAAGCATCCTCATCCTCTGAAACCACGGGCATACACTCTGGGCACACACTTTCCTCCTTTAGCCTCTAGGCTAGTATCCTTTCCTGAGGAGGAAGTG